AGTGTCGGCACCAATTCAGAGATGATTGGACGATCTACAGCCGAGTGACACACAAATAAGATACATTGTAAATAATTGAGATTTTAATGTATTTTTAAGATTGAACTCCAGAGTTTAATGTCACTTTAACTACTGACCCGTCCAGTACGGTCAGTGCCATGGACAGCGGAGACCTTTCTACCCCTTCATTTTAAGCTTCTGTTCCTTTTAAAGGAGAACTATGAGGTGAGTGATTTCCACTCATCCTCATAGTTTGAGCCGACCTGTGACAATGAAACTGTCACACGTCGGCTCAGTAGATCGGGAAGTGAGCGAACTCATACCGTCGCTCGCTCACTTCTCAATCCTGTCCCTGCAGAGAGCCGTGACTGTGTCACTCACGGCTCTCTGCAGGGATTCCCCCCCTCCCCGCTCCGATCCTCCATCGCTCACTGGTGGAACGGACGGGGGAAGGGCGGGTACAGCTGACTCTGTCCTCTAGATAGGCAGAGCCAGCTGTCAATCACACAGCTGGGTGAATCTCGACAGTAATGTCGGGATCCGTCCTGGCTGCGGCGCTCTCAGTATACAATGAGCTGTATCTCGCGGTATACTGAGCTTTCCGTCAAGGGAATCTCTAAGCCTGATGAAGGGGACCCTGCGAGGCCCCGAAAGCGCTTGCCAATGAGATACAGCTATTGGCAATCAAATATTTTGCTTTTTCAACTTATTGTGTGCTGGTGACATTTTTCTATTGTTCCGTCATGGGAGGACGCTAGTTTGTGTCCTCCCATGACCCTTAGGAGAACTATGGGGAAAAACACTTACCCCATAGTTCTCCTTTAAAGTGAACGGTAAGTTTGGGAGCAGCGTGACTTACCTTTTTAGTTGCCTGTGATTTGGCTTTAGTTGCACGTGGAGAAAAAAAACTTGTGCAGGAAGGTCAAATGATGTGAGCTTGAAGATGCGGTCCTTTGCGCTAATGTCCTGCATGGAGCTTTTTCGTTCATCGACCTTTAATGAACTAGAGTGATCCTCTGTGTCACTCTTCTAGCAGGTCAGAGAATATGACGGAGAACAGGATTGGTTGATTTTAGAATCTCTGATCCATTTTCTTTCAGGCACATAATGTCGCGAGGTCCACAATCCAAGTTCAGTGACGCATGATCTGTGGACCGTTCCTTGCCAGGGACGCAGTGATGGATTGATTGGCCAAAGGGGCACAGCAGAGAGGGCAGAGGGTTTAGACCACGAGCAGCTTCGGCCGCCCTCTGTGCTGTTTTAGCCTCGCCGAGCTTTATCCCTTCAGCCCTTAGATCCATCGACTGCTCTCATGCTTTATATATAGGCCTGTGTGCCAGGGCGGGCCGTGCCAGTTTAAATGTTTACACCGTCTGCCCCACGTGCCATTGTATACTTACTACACCATGCGCTAAGCTGTGCTGTCTTAACATAGAATCATCTGCTGTGTATCCTCTTATCATAGGATTATGTTTTACTGCCGGAATAAATGGCTTTCACGTGGGATTTTCATAGAAAAGCTGCAGCGGTTATAAAACACGCGGATCATCGCATTCTCGATTTCCGGTTATATTTAGAAAAGGGGAAAAGTCAAAGCTGAAAGATGACCTGAAGTCAAAATTTTCATCAACTTTGAGGGTGATGGCGACACTGGACGTGGGTTGTGGCAATGGAAAGGGCGTCCTGTAAAAAGGGGATCCCTCACCACCCTGATTGCGGGTCATGTGATCTATCGATACAGCAGCCATGCAATGGGGACGATGACACCAGTCCTTAATGAAAGTAAATGAAGAATCCTGACATCAGTGCCTAAGGTCCTGATCAGGTGCGGATCAGCAGACGCGGTGCTGTGTGTTTGGCCGCGTTTTTGATGCGTTCCAGTTTTTACAAAAATTTGTTTTTTTTTTGCTGGAGTGGGGCTGTCAGTATGTTAGCTGCAGTGCAGTGCGTTCTGCGTTTCCTGACCGTACAAAATGTGACACGCAGTATCTTTCTGTCGTAACCTGAACGGACTGCGCACCTGAGAACTGTAGCCCATAAAACACATTGGGATGCATTTTTAGTGCAGCAGCGTACGGATCAGGTCAGCACAGAAAACGGACGTCGTGTGAACAGGCCCTCAAGGTAAAACTGCCGCAGGCCATGCGATCAAATGTTGTCTCGCATGACCCAGATCAGGAGCACCTTGGATGATCCTTGTGACAGCCAGCAGCTGCGTGTGTGCTGAATGATATCTTTATACACTTTGTGGAAACTTTTATTTTCAGGTGACTCTATTGTGAACTTTTTTGTTTATTTACAGGTGAGTATTTACTGCATTGTTTGTAAAAGAAGATAGTAAATACTCTCATTTCCCAGTACACACAGCGTGCCGATCACTAGAACTGGTCCACCCAATTCCCATTCTGCAAGTGTCAATCTCCTGGGTCCCCCGGAGCTCATACTTGTAGGCCTGGAAGCCTCTGTAGTTGCTGCCTGTTGATCTCAGGGGGGAAGGGGGATTCAGCTTTTTCTATATATTTTTTTCACTCACCCCACCCCCTAGATTCTGAGCTAAAATACTTTTTTTGACAAAAGGCTCCTTGCTTGGTGATGTGTTATGTTTCTTAGTCTGCCTCTCTCATGCAATGCTTTTTCCTGTTTGAATAAAGTATTGTTTTTGTTTTGTAAAATAACGATCTGTTTGTAAATATGTAACATATATGATTCACTTTGTAAGATCATTCAATAAACAAAATTGAACCTCTTATAATGGGCACAGTAGGTGTACAGACCCGAGAACTCTGCACAGGGATGGTGGGAACCCCTTATAATGGGCACAGCATGTGTACAGACCCGGGAACTCTGCACAGGGATGGTGTGAGCCCCTTATAATGGGCACAGCAGGACAGCAGGTGTACAGACATGGGAACTCAGCACAGGGATGTTGGGAACCCCTCATAATGGGCACAGCAGGTGTACAGACTCAGAAACTCAGCACAGGAATGGTGGGAATCCTTCATAATGGGCAGAGCAGGTGTGCAGACCCGGGAACTCTGCACAGGGATGTTGGTAGCCCTTTATATTGGGCACAGCAGGTGTGTAGACCCCGGAGCTCTCCACAGGGATGGTGGGAGCACCTCATAATGGGCACAGCAGGTGTGTAGACCCCGGAACTCGGCTCAGAGATCTCTCCATTAGAATACCAGAATATATAATGAACTGTCAGGTGGTTTAACTCTCTACCATCCACCAGACACTAAAATATCCGTTTTTGGTTTACAAACGCTCGCCTTTTATGTCGATTTGAGAGTAGCTAAAAGGGGGCAGGTGAGCTGTAGAATAACATCGCCCAAACCGGCTTATGTCGACTTCACCATGCTGAGAAGTACATAGGAGCTGTGTGACTGGTTACCCTTTAGGATTACAAACCGGCCGTCCCCAGTGTCAGCAATGTGTGTGATGTGTGTGATTTTACACAGCAAGATAGGTAACGTGCTTTAGCAAAGGGTCTTTCTTTGCTGCCCGTCTTCCTCCAGCCTGCTTACTGGGCCATGAATCCGAGTCATTACCTCTGTCCAATCAGCCAGTAGGTGACTCTGCATGCTGTACAGCTGAGTGAAGAATAAGTGATCATCCTGGCTGTGCAGTTTTGACCGGTGTGTATGTGAATCTTGAGACTGACTGAACAGAGTTACAAACACTCTTATTGGTTTGGAATTCCTATCTATGTGGATTGTGTTTGGAGGTTTTCTACTGACTCTTCACAGACTACACTATTGACATCAGTTCCTCCCCGTTTGGGTCTCATTTTGCTGCTATGTAAATAGTAAACGTCATTTTGAAATTGTAGTAGATGAGTTCTCTAATTTGCCATTCAAATACGTTCTACGTAAGAATTTGTTTTAGCTCCATAAATTTTTTTTATTTGTGTTTTTATTTATGGTTTTTTTTGGCCTTTGTAGAACGATGACGGCTTCAGTGAGCATCTCCATCAAAAACGCAGGTCCCCTCTTGTGGGCTGCTTTTTGGGAATATTTGGAAAACTGAGGTCGGTGACAAAGTATGATCGAGATAGTGATTGGAAGATTCAGATTTGGCCAGATTATATTGTCTCTGTACCTAATAGACACTCTTCTCAAAGCTGAGCTCCAGCCAGAAAAAATGTCATCTAAATATATACCTTAGTAGCCAAGATGGATATAAATACACTTTGTGTGAACCCAATGCCTTTGCAAAATACGATATTGCCTTCACTGGGCTGTACATAGTTCTGCTCTCTGCACAGGCTATGTACTGCCCAGTGATGACATCACTGCTAATTTTACAAGGCAGTGGCAGCAGGGATACGAGGGGACAGAGACAGGTGCCCAGTGGGGAGGAGTGAGGCTGTCAGGATGCCAAGCGGGGAGGAGACAGCTGTCACAGGAGGCTGAGCTCTCCTCTCACACCACCCCGGTCGGCCTCCTGTGACAGACAGGAGTCAGGATGGAGAGCGGGTTACAAGCGCTCGGTGATCGGGGCTGATCGCTGTGTGTTAGTAAATAACTGAGGACAGGACATAGTATGCTTACTGCGTCACCAGTTATGAATGAACAGGAAGTGCTCTACATCACTGCCTGTTCATTCATGGTTGTGGACATAGTATCTCATACTATATCCACAGTTTATGAATGGACAGGAGCACTCAGTAAAGAGGCTTCCTGTTAATTCATAATAGGGGCTGCAGAAAAAGAGATTGTGTCAATCCTTTTTAATTTTTTTTATTTTAAAGGGAAATATCAGGCGTCTTTTTAGACCCCTGATATTTCCCCAGAGCCCCCAGCAGGAAAGTAAAAAAAAAGAAATAATAAAAATATTTAAATTAAATTTAAACATTTGGGGGGGAAAAAGTCCGGCCTGAAAATTATTTTTGGTACATCCCTAGCTCTTACCTTTTTTTTTGTATGCTCCATCTAAAACTATAAAAAGGTTTCTGCTTTAGATACTTTAATCCAATTTTTTTTTTTTTACCCTTCCAGAAACGGATAGGATCCCAGTGATGCGAGGCCAGTGGTTCATTGATGGCACATGGCAGCCCCTTGATGAGGACGAGAGTAACCTGATTGAGCTGGAACATCTGAAATGCTTCAGGGGTCATCAGATGCCCGACAACTTTGACCTGGAGGTGGTGAAGCCGGTGGACCACAAGGATGGTGAGATACGTTTCCCCTTGGCTTTCTCTGTTCACAATATCAGAATGAACTTGGCTGAAAGGGACGTGTATTCTCTATAGTAGAATAGAAAACCCAGCAGAGCCCCTTTGTAAGGATTGGGCCAGGTGTTCAGACCTGGGAACCCGTTAGTAGACATTTAGTCACTCGAGCACCCCAGAGGTGAGAAACCATTCAGTCATTTAACTGTCCGGCTGAAAGATATATTTTCATGGACTCTACTTTGCAGAAACTTTAATCTGTTCATTTTAGAGAGCCGGACACGACTGGACTTGGATTTTTGTAAAAGGTTGTGAGAGGCTTATAGTTACTTATAGTTCAAGCCTGACTCCATGCTGAGGCACTTGCTGCCTTCTAGTTGCTAAGTGTACCTAACAATACTTAAAAATCGAGCCCCATATTTGAGTCATTTAAACTACAAGGTACTTGTGATTTGTGTCAGCTGATGCAAAGCGAGAGGTTTGGTTTCAGCCCAGTTCATTCCAAAAAGTATTCCAGCCCAGTTCATTCCATAAAAAGTGCTTATGGTAACAGTAATAAAGTGCAGCACCATGTGGTCCCCTCACGTATTGTGGTAGTCTTCAAAGAAGTCCTCGTAGAGCCCCTTTGGACCGTGAGGGCCAGGTTGTAGACAGGACCTTAACTTCTCTCCAAGTCTGTCAAGCCCCGTCCCTTCTGGTGCTGATATTCCCCATCTGTCATTCACCTACCAAATGCCAGAGATTTCAGTGGAGGTCCTGGCAATTCAGGGTTGAATGATGGGGGTGGAGCTTGACATCAGGATGAGCGGGGCATAATTCCAACTTTGGTTAAAAAAAAAAGTCAAAGCCCCATATGGAGCCTGGGCATAGCATCCAAGGGGCTTCGTAGTGACGTTAAGATCAATTTCAAGACTAATACCACTTCTTCCAAGACCACCGAAGAGCTGCACTTTATCTGGTCTTACCTTTGGCATTTTTCAGGCCAGATTGGGTTTACTGTATAATTATCCTGTTTTTTGTTACCCTCCTTGATGAATCACACATGCATGCATCTTTATAATCGGGAAGATACAGTAAACTCCCAGTTATCCGGCACCCACGGGGATCAGTAGGTGCCGGATAACTGAAGTTTCTGGTAACGTGCCCCCGCTTTCCCACGCAGCCCCATTCACCTGCCGACAGGTGAATGGAAGCAGCCGGTAGCAATAAGCCAGCCTGCTATTGCAATTTGAAATATCCAATAGCTGACTGGCTATTGAGGCCCCTCCCACTGAGCAGAGGCGCGGACCTGAGAAAGTTCTCTCCTCTGCTCAGTGGGCGTGCATAATAGCCAGCCTGCTATTGGCTATTGCTATATGAAATAGCCAATAGCAGGCTGGCTATTTTTCCACATTATTTACATTCTGCTGCCGACCGCGGAGTCTAGCTGCCGGCCAGCATCCAGCCGTGAACAAAGTATTTAGTTATCAACTAAATAAATGTAGTTGCCAACTAAATTTTTGGCATCCACTAAGCACCGGACCGCTTTTTTAGTTCACATCAAGCCGGCAAAAAAAATGTCCTTTTTTTTGTGTTTCTTTTTTTGTGCTGGTTGTTTGAGAGTGCTAGTTGCTTGAATGCCGGATAATGGGAAGTTTGCTGTATTTCACTAAATAACTTGAACTAATGTATGCTTTTCAGAATCCTGCTTAAAGGGTCAGTCCACCCAAAACTCAAAGTAATAATTGTATAACGACATGAATCTCTAATTGGCTCCTTATATTGTCAGGGAATCTCTTGAGGCATAAAAATGTCCCAAAGTCCCAACAGCACCTTGTTGTTCCTTCATTTGCTACAGCTGAGCTAAGCCCCATCCATCCAGTAACAGGCCAGTCTAAGAGCATCTTTGTGGCCAATGGATGAGCTCCTGTTGGTTGAGGACGGAGCCTAGTTCTTTAGAGATGGGGGCAGAAGTCGAGGCATCAGTATAGCATGCGCTTAGGATCAAGGTGCTCCCCAGGTATACAAGAAACTTGCCTTTTGGGGTTAATTTGAACACTTTAATTCCTGGCAGATTCAGTAAAGCGTTTTTTTTTAAAAATGTAGAAGTCCTGGTCATGCACCATATGGTCCTTCAATTGTCTTTGTTGGCCTAATCTGTGCGCCCCCCTGATCTTGGGAAGGAAACTTCACCCACCACCATTCGCTTTGCTAATGAGCGCAACTTTGTTGGCCATTGAGGCACTCTCATTGGACAGTTAATCGTACGTAAAGCAACTTCAGTACCCCCCTCATGTTTTTTTTTGTTCCCCTCCTTCCCTTTTTAGCTGGGTTATGCAGAAAAAAGACATACTCACACTCTGGATCCAGCAGTGTTCTATAGGGATGAGCTGCTGCACAGCCATTCCTGCTCAGCCATCTGGTCTGGCTGCGAGAACCCAAAAGAGAAGGCCAGCCTCCTGATGACATGGTGCAAGCACTGTAGAGTACCCAGAGACCTCCTGGGATGCATTATATGGGTATCCAAGGAGGCTACGGGGAATATACTGTACACCAAATTCTCACCTAGGTGAGGATAGAAAAGGTACAGAGAGGGTACCTGTGAAAAATAGACTTTAAAACCTCAGTAGTATATTTTATATAGGACATTTGTTTATAAGTTCAGAAACTGCTTTTTGAGTCCTATATAAGTCCATCAGGGAGACTCTCAATGGTTGCTGTATGTGGATATGCGGAGATCTCATCTCACCCCTGAATTCCCTGACATATATTCGTTGCTTTGAGTTCTGCACCTCAAAATTTTGGTCAGCTTTGGCTGGACTGTCCCTTTTTAAATTCCAATATGGCGATGATCATAATAAAAGCGTAATTTTAAACTGTGTAAACACTTCATGTGATGTTATCTGAGACCCCGATCTATCTTCAGACAAAATCATTAATAAGTAAACTCATCAAAGTGGATAGACTGTCATTATGTGCCGGCATTCTTCTGTGGTTGTATGATTGAGGCCCAGCCAGAAAGATAATATTCCCCGTCATATAAAACGTATTAATTTTTAAATGTGCCCTTTTCTGCTGTTGTCTATGGAAGCCCATGTTGAATGACTCTTTAAAGGAGAACTATGAGGTGAGTGATTTCCACTCACCTCATAGTTCTAGCCGACCTGTGACAATGAGACTGTCACAGGTCGGCTCAGTAGATCGGGAGGTGAGCGAACACATAGCGGCGTTCGCTCGCCTCGCGGTATACTGAGCCTAGGGTGACGGGAGGACGCTAGTTTGTGTCCTCCCGTTACCCTAAGGGGAAAAGCCTTAACCCCATAGTTCTCCTTTTTAAAAGTTCTACCTGGCTCCTAGATTGGATTGTTTGTTTGACTTATGAGCTCTGTATTAAAGTGGACCTATTAGTCCATTAAAATCTGTTGAAGATGCTTTCAGCTTACTCTTTGCTGGAAAGAAAGTCCAGAGCTTTCCCTGGTGGCTGGTCATGTGACCAGTACCAAGGCACTGATCACATGGTATTTGCCTGGAGGAAGCTGCTGCTCTGGCTGTGGTCAGGTAAAGTCACCCAATCAGCGGCACTGCCTGAATGACGACGGTCTCGACATGGATAGTGCCTTGGCATTGGTCATATAATGGACCATTGGCCCTTTCCAGTCAAAGATATGCCTGCAGCATCTTTTATTACCTTTCACTAATTTATGTGCTAAATAAGATACTTTTTTGGATTTCAAGTGCTTTTCAGTTTGTCAATTCCTGTTAACTGTTGATTTTTTGCCTTTTGTTACTGATTAAAACTTTTATAACTTTCTAGAGGCAGTACTAACATTTTGCAGCAAGGATTTGTTGATTTTGTTGAAAGTTGTTACAATCAGTGTTGGTGGTAAACGCATGCTGTATAACTATTATGTTGCTGTGCTCTCAACCTGCTAATATTGTGACTGTCGGAAGATCTCAGTCCGGAGACAAGTAAAGTTTCCTCTCTTCACTTTGCTAGTTGTCCCACCTCCCTTCTCCCTCCCTTTCCTGTTCAGTTGGAGAGGATATAACGAAAGCACAGGCGCCCCATGCGCCAAGAGAAGGCGTTACGAAGGTACGGTAACCTAGACGCCTTGTAGAAACTTACACTAGATGCTTTGTAATGCCTCTCCACATACTGCTGCTGTATAGATCTAGATCACACAGCTGACTGTCTTATGTCTCAGAGTTTGTGATGCCAGAACGCTGGACTCCTGCTGTATAGTCTTGGGGCTGGCACTGTGTCTGCGTCACTTGTCATTCCATTCGAGTACTGAACTCTACAAGTAGACATGTAGGAGGCTTCAAGATTGGAGCCCTAAAACCTTCTCTAAACGCAAGAACAGAAATGTCATATTGCCGCTTACCAGTCCTTAGATGCATTTGTTTCCTTTCCCATGTTATCCTTCCTTTTATCTTTTGACCCGGTGATTCTGTCGGGCACACACTTCCTGTCTTAGGGTGACCCGCTCACTCACTACACTGTATCTATGAACGAGCAGCAATGTCACCATAGGCTGCTCTCCTGATTTGGACTACAAACACATGCACATCTAGGTGGGGCAATAAGTAGTTTACAGAAAATAGGTTGGAAGATTAACAGGTATTTTTCTCTCTTGTCCATTGAGGGACACAGCTCTGAAGGCTTCTGATATGTAGGGTTATGCTGCCGCCTCTAAGAGAAATGGACACTAGGCAAGCAAGTAAAAAGCCTGTCACTTTAAGGACATAACCCCTCTCACCTCACACTTGCCAATTTCGCTTAGTGTCCTCAGGAGGATGGATGTCTCCTTCTCTTCTGCTTTATTATTTTAGTTCATTTTGTTTCTTTGCAGATTGTACTATTGAGGGCCGATAGATGATGATAAATCCTGGGACAAGGGTGTGCAAATTTTATTAAAAAAACTACTTTTCCATGGACTAAAGCGGGGGGCCCAATCTACTTGTCCCTCAGGGCAATCTGCTCACAATATGCGAGCGAACCAATTGACGAGGGAGCACGGAGCCGGCTTCCTGGCCGATCAGGAAGTTGGGCGGCATGTAATGACTCGCTGCCCAGCTTCCTGATTGACCGAGAAGCTAGCCAACCAGGAAGACGCGCAGCGAGTCATTACCCACCCCACGGCTTCCTGATTCCCAGAAATCTGGCTCCATGCTTCCACATCACCTAGTGCTGAGGGAGCATGGAGACGGCTTCCCAGATAATCAGGAAGCTGGGCGGCGAGTCATTACACGCCTCCCGGCTTCCTTAATAGAAATTCCGGTTTTCGGTAGCTGCGACTACCTGAAAAAAAAATATCGGTACGAGTACTCTATATTGAAAAAACGGTATCGGTACATCCCTAGCGTTTCCCCTGCACGAGAGGGTCGTCTTTTTGAAATTATCTCGGATTAGGTTAATTAAATAGCTATGGAGGTAAAAGTGAGCACTTACCTCAGATGCAAAGAAATAGGGCTCAGTGTTGTACGCCAGCTTCTTCTTTTCCATCTTTTATACATTATTTTAATCCCCAGCTTTCTAAAGACGTTTTACACTTATTCCAAACCTTTGGACCCCCTAGACGTCCTTGGCAATTTAAAAAGTCTGATTTATCATAACGTTCTGCTTCAACATATTCTATATCTGGTTGGGGGACGCCGAATGGAATTTTCAGAGACATGGGAAACACAAATTTCAGAATGTTTTTTTCATCTTCCTCAAACTTTGCGTTTTGGCTTCACGTGTCTTGGCAGCGTCGGATGAACCGCAGTTCAAGGTCTATTGGATCCGGCTGTTACTAATCCCCGTTCCTTTAGCAGAATGTTTTCAAGATTTTTACTTAAAACTGTTTACGGTTCAAAAACCCAACGGAAGACTGCGTCCGATTCTGGATAGAAAGCACTCAATGCGTTTGTACTTATTCATAAATTCTGTATGAATTCCATTCTGTTGGTTCTCACTTCTCTTAGACAAGGCATTTTTTTGGTTTCCATAGACCTAAAGGATGTGTATCTAGTCATTCCTGTAGTTTCCTTCATTTTGCAATAGGAAACCTTCATGATCAGTTTGTGGCTCTTCTCTTTGGCTTCGGCTCCAAGGGTTTTATACAAAAGTTCTTCTTCCGGTCCTGGGATTTTTTCTTCACAAGGGCATTCCAATTATCAGATGCTTAGATTACTTTTACTTCAAGAAGCGTCTTCTCCTATTTTGGAGCTCGACGTCTAGACGTTGCTGCGGATATATTCGCGGACTTTGGGTGGATTCTGATCCTTGAGATGTTATCCCTAGTTTCTGTCACATCACTTGGAGTATTTGGATACCCATCAAGCCAAACTGTTCCTCTCCTAGGAACAAAATATTTAATGTTGCAGGATCAGGTTCGGTCGCTTTGATCCCATCGCTATTCCTCTCTGCGAACCTACATGAGAATACTGGGATTGATGGTGTCAACCTTCCCAAGTGGTACCGTTTGCTCCGTTCCATTTCAGAACTTTACAGAGGAACATTCTTAGTGTGTAACAAGTCTACTTTGTCGCCGGGCAAGATGATTAGATTGAGTGCCCCGGCAAAGATGTCTCTGTCGTGGAATGACATCTCCTGCGTTGACAATGGGAAAGTCTTTTTCTTCCCATGTCTTGGAAGATTGTCATGACGGTTTCCAGTCTTGTGGGATGGGCTGTCTCTTCAGGTTGTTGGCCTCTGGAAGAATCCGAGCTTCAGCTTTATATCCTGGACTTGAGGGTGATTTTGTCTGTCGTTGTTTCGCTGGACCTGTCTTCTATCAAGCATTGAAAAAAAGTAATTTCAGATTTTGTTCTTTGTTTTAAAGCTCAGAGATGTTCTACCCATTAGATTTATTTATTTTTTTTCATCATGCGTGGAAGGTTGTTCTTTGTTGGTGTGAGTCTTTGGGATTTTCCACATATATTGCAAATTTTGTCTTTTCTTCAACTTGAGGTATATCAACGTTTTAGCTCGAAGTACCAGGCAGACATCTGCCTTGTTGGTCTTCTTTTTTTAGTGTACTCCTTGCTTCTAATTCCTTTCTTCATACTTTTATTCAGGGAATTTCTCAAGTAGTTCCTCCTGTTAGGTCTCCTTTTCCTTCGTGGGCCTTGAACTTGGTTTTATCTGTTTTACAGAACCCCCTTTCGAACCCATACAAGACCTTTTCTTTGATTTGTTTTCCAAAATGGTTGCTTTTCTTGTGACCATTACCTCAGCTAGAAGGATTTCCGAGTTGTCTGCTTTGTCTTGTAAAGAACCCTATTTGGTTCTTCATAGGGACAAGGTTGTTTTTGAGATCACAGGTTTCCTTTTTACCCAAAGTAATCTCAGCTTTTCGTTTATATGAAGACTTTGTTTTCCCTTCACTTTGTCCAGCTTCTGTTCATCCTAAGGACATTTCTCCATAATTTTTGGATGTTGTGAGGCTGTTACTGCTTATCTCTTTCAGCCACATCTTCTTTCCCATCTTCAGACTCTTTATTGTTCTTTCAGAAAGGCCAAAAAAAACTTTTCTGCTAAAACTAGCATCAGAAGTGGCAGAAACCGCTTTTATAAAACTTTGTAAACGTGTGAACTGAAGGCCAAGTTGCGACCTTGCAATTTAGAGCAACAGAAGCTTGATTCTGAAATGCCCAAGAAGTACTAATTGCCTGAGGAAATGATCAGAAACAGGAAAAGGTGGTACCTAGTTCCTCAATTCATAAGCTTGAATGACAAGCTGACGAATTCACTTAAAGTCGATCTAGAAGCTAAAAGACCTTTTCATGCAGCTATTTAGTGTACTTTGAGAGTTCATGTTTAGTTTCGGTAGTGCTTTAGTTGTTGTGGTGCCCGCCCCTCTGTTTGGACTGCTTTTGAGCATCCCTATGTCTCAGATTTCTTCAGAGCTGTGTCCCTCAATGGACGATCGAGAAAATAGGACACAGCTCCCACCCCTAAAATTCCTTTATGTTGCTTGCTAGAACTGGGAGGTGGGAGGGGTTATGTCCTTTTAAAGTGACAGGCTTTCTAGTGTCCATTTCTCCTAAATGCAGCAGCATAACCCTACGTCTCGGAATCCTTCAGAGCTGTGTCCCTCAGTGGACTCCAAGAAAAAAGTCCTATTTTTTGCACTCACTGAAAATGTTCTTGGCCGACAAAATGCCACCACATCTAAGGACCTGTAAGCTGCAATATACTCCATGTTTTCAGGTTTATATCTCCTTTAAAGTGACCCTGCCACCAACTCAATGTTAATAAGGGAGCTAGAAGGACTCCCCTGCTAAGGATGATTAGGTAATCTAATCTTGTTTACCTTAAGGTGTCCATACACTGTAATATTTTCTTCTTTCTTACAGATTCCGTTATCAACGCTTACAAGCATTGACCAAGGAATCTCCTGCAGTCTTCATTGTATTCTGATAGCTGATTGGCAGCCGGCTCTGTTTGTTGGAAGATTTTCCAAAAGGCTCCTTTAATCAGCTGATTGAGGGATGCCGGCCAAAAGGGTTCCGACCGCGGCACCCATTGTGCGAATTTCAGCCAGTTCAATTTGCACAGTGTATGGCCAGCTTTGGAGAGTAGGCACTTAAGAGGAGACATGGTGGCTGTCTACAAATTAATCAATGGCAGCTGTAAGGGAGGTGACAACTTCATTCATCCTAGGCCCTTGAAGAGGACACATGGGCACAGTGGACCTGGGTGGGGACTCCTTTGCCCAGGTAGTGGTAAAAGCTAGAAGCATTGACGGATCCAAAAACGTCTACATGTCTTCCTCGATACATAGAGAAATGTATACTCCTAGAACAGAAAACTTATTTCAACACACACGTAGGTTAGACTGGATGGACCTGTGTCTTTCAACCTTATCTACTATGTAATGACTGTAATAGAAAAAGGAAAAAACCTCGCCTCTCCAGTGGGCCGTAGCTATTTGATAGTTCCGGGTGTGTCAGTGCGTCACCTGCTGGCCACTGTGGTTCTTCCCGCCAACCCCATACATTACTGCTATGGCCTGTAGTTGTGGTAAGGGTGAGTTGGCAGAAGGAAGCACAGCACCCTATAGTGGGCACACTATCGGATACCCCCGGATGTCAAAAAGCGGCAGTGCCCAGTTGAGTTGGTGACGAGGTCACCTTCACTCTCCTGCTGCTCCATTTAGCTACCAAGAACAAGGAAAATCCCCCGTTTTGAAGTATGGGGGAAGCATTTGATAGGTGCAGGGGAGGAGGGGAAATCAGTTTTGTTCTGTTTTTTTGAGTGTAGAGTGAAGCACTTATTCCTAGGGATGCAGCTTGATAGTTTACACACCACAAAGTTGTCCTTTCATTAATAATGTAGATTTGAAGATGGCTGTTTATTTGTAGTCTACAGAATGCGAACGCTTCAGTCATGCCAGTCAAGTCTCCGTTTGTCTGACCTGCCGCAGTGTGCTATGGTGTCCTCATGTCCTAGCTGTTTGACTTGGCCAACGTATTATCTGTTGCCTTAAGCTGAATATCATCCGCTCTTCCTGTAGTAACTGCTAACTTTATAGTTCACCTATTCTTTAGTGCAAAACAAATGCTGTGAATGCAGACGGTTGGAGGGGTGGACTTTGCACATGATTCTTCCACCCGTGAGGAGTTTACCATATTCTGGCAATATGTCACTAAAAGGCTTGCTCTAGAGCGTTGTGTGCCCCATATTTGCCTATTTCTTGTAGTGATGCAGACCTCATAGTCGGTGGATGGAAAGAAATATGACGGGCCCTGTTATCCGCATCCGAGAACACCAGCATAGTTGATGCCAGACTACTCCAGAAGGTCACCATTTGGTCCCATTTTTATAACTTTACCTACTTTGGTATGCCTGCTTTATCAGGGGTCACCTGAAATCTGACAGTTGCCGCCATGTCCGCAGACTGACCTCACCCACCATCTCCCGTCTCCTGAAAATGAATGTCTAAAAGCAGAAGCCTGTGTTGGTTCACATTCTGCGAGACCCTATTATTTAGTTGGGAGATGGCGTGTGAGGTCAGCAACTATCTAATGTTAAGTGACCCTCAGCGAATGTAGATTTATTGGCTTTTCAGCCATTATTGTAGTCAATAGTTTGCAATCTAACACAACCGTCTGACCGTAGGTTTATTGTAGAAAAAGGAATACACAAATGGGCAGATATCATCAAGGGAACCTTGTCATGCTTCACGCAAAGGTTATCCTTATGATTTAAAGGAGAACTATGGGGTTAAGGCTTTCCCCCATAGTTCTCAGGGTAACGGGAGGACACAAACTAGCGTCCTCCCATCACCCAAAGCTCAGTATACCGCGAGCTACAGCTCGCGGTATACTGAGACGCTGAAGCGGATCCCGACAATTGTGCCGGGATCCGCCCAGCTGCGTGAGTGACAGCTGGCTCTGCCTATCTAGAGGCAGAGCCAGCTTACCCGCCCCCTCCCCCGTCCGATCCACCAGTCAGCGCTGGCGGATCGGAGGGGGGAATCCTGCCCCTCCCCTGTCATGGCAGGGAGTCGTGACAGGATCGAGAGGTGAGCAAATGCCGGTATGTGTTCGCTCACCTCCCGATCTACTGAGCCGACCTGTGACAGTCTCATTGTCACAGGTCGGCTAGTTCTCCTTTAAGCACTTTGTTCAAAATGTGTCGCGGTCCCCTTGTTGTTATCTGCCCATTTGTGCGTAACTTTTTCTACAATGGACCTACAGTCAAGCAAGGTGGGTGAAGCAGTTTTTTTTAATTGGGGATTTACTTATGTATGGGGAGCAGGAGATTTTTAAAAGCCACAATCTCCCAGTGCCTTGGGGTATGTGGGCTCCTTTGCAGCAGAGCAATTCTTTTGCTTGTGTTATTAGGCTTGCTTGTCTTCAGACCTTGAAACTAAATCTAGCCATACACCAAGTCTTGCTGACTTTACTGAAATGCAAGCAGGCTGTGGCCCCATCAGGACCCCCCATTTGACAAGTCAATTGAAAAATCAGAGACTGTCTAGGCCAAACGGTGACTGCTGCCACATAGTCACAGTCACTGTTTGGGTATTTTGACAGCAGCACACCTGACACTTGTAGAATTTAAAGAAGATTATGAGGCGAGTGATTTTCACTCACCCTTATAATCTTAGCCGAACCTGTGACAATGAAACTGTTCAGTAGATCGGGAAGTGAGCAAACAAATACCGTTGCTCGCTCACTTCTCGATCTATTCCTGCAGAGAGCCGTGACTGTCACGCACGTCTCCCTGCAGGGATTTCCCCCCTTCCCGCTCCGATCCTCCAGCACTGACTGGCGAAACGCGAGGGGGCGGCACAGCTGGCTCTGCCTTTGGCTATGCAGAGCCAGCTGTCAATCCCGCAGCTGGGTGGATCCAGACAGTATTGTCGGGATCCGTCCCGACTGCGGCGTCTCGGTATACCACTAGCTGTAGCTCGCGGTATACTGAGCTTTGGGTCTCGGGAGGACGCTAGTTTGTGTTCTCCCGTGACCCTTAGGAGAACTATGGGGAAAAACCCTAACCCCATAGTTCTCTAATAGCCCAGTGGGAAGGATTCCTCCATCCACACGGTTTAATATGGGTGGAGGAATTGAGAGGTTTTTTTTTTGTTTTCTTTTTTTCTTGCTCAGTCTGTGGGGCTGAATGAGAAAAATGTATTGCCAGCTCATGTTGTGAAGCTCTCATGCAAAAAAGGCAGGACAGTACCCTGTGGTGCTCCCACCACCCCTTCACTTAATGCAATACTCGAGCCGAAATGTCCGGCTCAGACAAAGTAATGTCAGTAAGGGGTAGATATAAACCTTTATAAGTAACCATGCACAGTTATAATTTTAGGCTCCATGTGCCTGAAAGAAAAGGGTAATGCTTGACTCATGTTCCCAAAATTTCATTTAAATCCCCATGGCTGGGAGTTGGGTGATGGGGGATATATAGTTCTGCTTGCATGTGCAGAAATCTATGGTGTTGCCCGTAAATGTGCCTTAGGGTCCCCACACACCTTACGATTATCGTACGATAATCGCGGGAAATCCCGCGGTCGTACCATGATCGTAAGGTGTGTGGAAGCCGTGCGACCTCTACTACTGTAAGGTCGCACGACTTTAAACTTACGGACATGTTCGAAAACCCGCCTGGCCTGGCAGCGGCGAGCGTGAGGTGGGAGGAGGTGTGGCGTGCAGCGTGTGTGGAGCCGTGAACAGGGCCAACCAATCGGAAGCCGATTAATCGATTATTGAAAAAGTTGACAACTTTTTCAATAATCGATTATAATCGATTATTTCGATTAGTTGTTGCAGCCCTAGCTCGTACGTTTTTTTAAGTACCTTACAACCATCGCAAGACAGAAGTCTTGCGATGGTTGTAAGGGTTGTGCCCAGCCTTAGAAGTGTTTTTTTGTCAATTTGACTCTTTGGAACATGACTCACTGTATACAACTAAAACAGTTGCGTCTAATAAGTAGTGAATGGCTAAGGGATAATCGAGTTCTTTTTAGGACAGGACTGGGTTAATCCCAAGTTCCAGTTAATGCCAATAAGCACATTACTGCTAGTAGCTGCATTGCACAAGTCTGTTTTAGGGTTTAAATAATGCCACTGGCATTGTGTAGAACATCTATACCAGGGGTAGGTAACCTCAGCACTGTGGTAATACCATAAATCCCATTATGCCCATGGCTGTCAGTCTTGCAGTGCCTCATGGGACTTGTGGTCCCTCAACAGCTGGAGTGCCAAGGTTGCCTACCCCTAGTCTGTACTATGCATGTTATTATAGACTGCAGTACATGTGTGCAGCCTGTAGGTGGCTCCTAGATGTTTGAAGGGAAAGTATAGCATTTAATTTATTTTTATTTTTCTGTTATACAAAAATGAAACACTTTTTCTCTTTTTTAAGCTAAACATTACATCAGATATTTCATATTTAGAACTTGCATGTAGGGCAATACTAGCTAGCTCAACAGCTTTCTTTAATAGAACAGGGGAGATCAGATTGTACACAGAGGTGAAACACTCTTACTACCTCTCCCCAGAGATGGGACTTTCTGGCTGAATTTTACACAGGCTTCCAGCAAGCACACTTTAGTGCTGGATATTTGTTTTATATATTTGGGTTTTAAAGTAAAAAAAAGAAAAAAGTGAGCCTAATAAAATTGGGCAAAAAAAAAATACTTTCCCATTAAACTATATTAAGACCTATTGACCTGTGTGTCCCGGCTTGTTATGGGTAGCCTGCGGCTTGTAGCTCCCGTCTGCACAAAGCTGCTGATCTGTGGCTGTCTAGCGGTTATGGAGCTGCAATCCCCTTTTTGTATGATGAACCTTTTGTTCTGTGACCGGCCCTCTGTCATTTCAGCTACACACAGCCTGAAGTTAAGTCGCAACCATGTGGACTGGCACAGCGTGGATGAGGTCTACCTCTACAGCGATGCCACTACTTCCAAAATAGCACGATCTGTCACCCAGAAGCTGGGGTTTTCTAAGGGTAAGCCGTCTGATCTTCTCGGAACAATGAGCTGCGCGCTCGTCTGGTCGTGGGTTCCCGGAACTCCACTGAAGAAGTTACACTTAAAGAACAGCCGGGGGCAAATATATAACACTATTATGTGTCATGCAATAACTTTCAACTTCTTTAAGTGCTCTATATGACTGTAGTGGTAATTCCTGCTCTCTGAGCTGATGGGTGGGTAGAGGGGGTGCTAACAAAATGTAGGGAGATCATAGCGTGCTAGTGACTACTGTGTAATTATTAAGAACTGAATCTTCTTTGCCAGGGCCGCCCACAATTTTTCATCTGGAGATCTACTTTTCAAATGACCAGCTCAGTGAGATCTACCAATGAAAAAACACCTGCATTCAGGGAGGGGGCGTGGCGGTGCATTGAAGTCAATGGCACCACAGCCACGCCCTCGCCCGGAACGCAGGCACATTAGTGCCTGCGCTCTGGTCCAGTGCAATCTTCAAAAATGCTGCAAGCACTAATTGCGTTCTAGAGGCCGAACACTGGAACACAGACTTTGTGGGGTCTCTCTTCTCTCGCTCTCTGCTGTCTCTCTTCTCTCGCTCTCTGCTGTCTCTCGCGCTCTCTGCTGTCTCTCGCGCTCTCTGCTGTCTCTCGCGCTCTCTGCTGTCTCTCGCGCTCTCTGCTGTCTCTCGCGCTCTCTGCTGTCTCTCGCGCTCTCTGCTGTCTCTCGCGCTCTCTGCTGTCTCTCGCGCTCTCTGCTGTCTCTCGCGCTCTCTGCTGTCTCTCGCGCTCTCTGCTGTCTCTCGCGCTCTCTGCTGTCTCTCGCGCTCTCTGCTGTCTCTCGCGCTCTCTGCTGTCTCTCGCGCTCTCTGCTGTCTCTCGCGCTCTCTGCTGTCTCTCGCGCTCTCTGCTGTCTCTCGCGCTCTCTGCTGTCTCTCGCGCTCTCTGCTGTCTCTCGCGCTCTCTGCTGTCTCTCGCGCTCTCTGCTGTCTCTCGCGCTCTCTGCTGTCTCTCGCGCTCTCTGCTGTCTCTCGCGCTCTCTGCTGTCTCTCGCGCTCTCTGCTGTCTCTCGCGCTCTCTGCTGTCTCTCGCGCTCTCTGCTGTCTCTCGCGCTCTCTGCTGTCTCTCGCGCTCTCTGCTGTCTCTCGCGCTCTCTGCTGTCTCTCGCGCTCTCTGCTGTCTCTCGCGCTCTCTGCTGTCTCTCGCGCTCTCTGCTGTCTCTCGCGCTCTCTGCTGTCTCTCGCGCTCTCTGCTGTCTCTCGCGCTCTCTGCTGTCTCTCGCGCTCTCTGCTGTCTCTCGCGCTCTCTGCTGTCTCTCGCGCTCTCTGCTGTCTCTCGCGCTCTCTGCTGTCTCTCGCGCTCTCTGCTGTCTCTCGCGCTCTCTGCTGTCTCTCGCGCTCTCTGCTGTCTCTCGCGCTCTCTGCTGTCTCTCGCGCTCTCTGCTGTCTCTCGCGCTCTCTGCTGTCTCTCGCGCTCTCTGCTGTCTCTCGCGCTCTCTGCTGTCTCTCGCGCTCTCTGCTGTCTCTCGCGCTCTCTGCTGTCTCTCGCGCTCTCTGCTGTCTCTCGCGCTCTCTGCTGTCTCTCGCGCTCTCTGCTGTCTCTCGCGCTCTCTGCTGTCTCTCGCGCTCTCTGCTGTCGCTCTCTCTCTCTTGCGCTCTCTGCTGTCGCTCTCTCTCTCTCTCGCGCTCTCTGCTGTCTCTCTCTCTCGCGCTCTCTGCTGTCTCTCTCTCTCGCGCGCTCTGCTGTCTCTCTCTCTCGCGCGCTCTGCTGTCTCTCTCGCGCGCTCTGCTGTCTCTCTCGCGCTCTCTGCTGTCTCTCTCTCTCTCGCGCTCTCTGCTGTCGCTCTCTCTCTCGCGCTCTCTGCTGTCGCTCTCTCTCTCGCGCTCTCTGCTGTCGCTCTCTCTCTCGCGCTCTCTGCTGTCGCTCTCTCTCTCGCGCTCTCTGCTGTCGCTCTCTCTCTCGCTCTCTCTTGCGCTCTCTCTCTCGCTCTCTCTTGCGCTCTCTCTCTCGCTCTCTGCTGTCGCTCTCTCTCGCGCTCTCTCTCGCGCTCTCTCTTGCGCTCTCTCTCTCACGCTCTCTCTCGCGCTCTCTGCTGTCTCTCTCTCGCGCGCTCTCTGCTGTCTCGCGCTCTCTGCTGTCTCTCTCTTCTCTCTCTCGCGCTCTCTGCTTCCGGCGCCCTGTCCTCCCGCGGTGCTCTTGTGACTGAATGTGGCTGACGTTGCACACGGGGAGATGTGTCCCGCCCCTTCCCGTCTGCGGTGTCTGACACATTCAGCCGCACGAGCACCGCGAGAGGACAGGACAGAGCCGATCGCGATCTACCATTGTTCGCTTTGCGATCAACTGACCGGGCACCGCTGTTCTATGCTGAGATCCGATAGATACCAAGCAACATGAGGATATCTCACTCTTGCTCTTTAAAAAGTCCAAAGCAAAGGTTACAATGTAGCAGTGAAACAGTTTCAAGCAGTCAGTTCTCTTTATAAAGAGCATGCAGTGTTTGAAACTGTTACATTGTATGATGAATCCTTTTGAAACGTGTGACCAACCTTTCCTTTGGCCTTCTGTCTATATACACGCGCACTCTACACGGCGTGTTTCTTTAGAACTCAAGTGTAACGCCAGCTCCATTTTTATTTCCTAGTTATGGATAGAGGGAGGAAAGGTTAGAACCTCTTAGGTTTTAGTTTTCATGTGTCCCATGTTTTCACCTTTCGCAGTCGCAATGACGAAAGAGAAAATTGTGACAACGTGTGTATTTTTGTTTCATAGCTTCAAGTAGCGGCACCAGGCTCCGTAGAGGGTACGTTGAAGAAGCCACGTACGAGGACAAGCCTGTAGATGTAAGTCACATTGTGTTTGTTGTCCATGGTATTGGGCAGAAAATGGACCAAGGCCGAATCATCAAGAACACTGCTATGTAAGTGGATTGTGTGTTTTTCTTCTCCATAAAGCATTAGTGAAGGGACTTTTCCAGCAGGGCCACGGTAGTGGAAGATTTGAGGTACTTCTCTTTCTTGGAGAAAATAGTGACGCAGCTTACTTCTATGTGCTTGTCACATCTGTGAAGACCCAAGCTCTTCAATGGAGTCACCCAAATTCAGATGAGCTTATCTGCTCTTCAGCAAAAATCAAATTATGGAGTGCCTAGACCAGACTTTCTCAACCAGGGTTCCTCCAGAGGTTGCTAGGGGTTCCTTGAGCTATGTTAGATTGGACTCCCACCTGATGATGCCTGCATAGTTCTTGCACCATTGACACTCGGCAGGGCCAGTGGCATGGGACCACTGGAACCTCTCCTCTGTTTTCAAGCAAGTAAATACTAACACCAGTGATTATGTTAGGTGTCTGTAATGGGAGAGCATTCTTTCCACTGACCACCAATGTAAGGAGCCTTTACTCCACTCTGCCCCAATGTAGGGGGGCTCTGCACAAACCTCCAGTGCAATGGCCATTCATCCTTTTAAACCCTTGGTTCTCAACCGGTGGGTCGTGACCCAAAAGTGGGTTACGACCCCTTGTTCAGTGGGTCGCCGCATGCCTTCCACTTTTCTAGTTGAGAGGCACCTCTGCCTCCCCCTAGCACAGCACAGTCAGTTCTTGTGCCAAGCAACCATTCAAAATATGCTGCCTGGCGCCGAGTGTCAGCTTGAGGTGGGATGGGCGCATTAATCGCATAGTACCGTGCCATCGCACTGTACCACGCAATCGCACCTACCGTGCATTCTAGTGTGGGGCATGTGTTGCCATTCATCTTAATGGTACCCCAAACGCACCTCCCAACCCACAGTTCGTAAGCCAGCACCGGAACGCGCGGTAACTAATGCGTGCAGTGCAACATGGGTCGTGGCTTAATGATCAAGGCCAAATGTGGGTCCTGATGTTACACAGGTTGAGAACCACTGCTTTAAACCAACAGGGTAACAGGGCATTCTTTCCACAAGTATAAGAGGACCCTCTCTCATTGGCCACCAATGTGTGGCCGATGTACCAAGATTTATATACAAATTTTTTATCAGGGGTTCTCTTAAACCCGGAACATTATTTCAAAACTTCCTCTGGGGGTAAAAGAGATGGGAAAGGCTGGCCTAGGCTTTCAGACAAGTAGCCAGCACTGGAGGGAGAATGGGGCAGCATGTTCTCCAGGGAAGGCAGGTATTTAAGCCGTGCTGTTGTTCTTCACAGCTAGACCATTAACATTTAAGTATAAGTTGTCGTTTCAATAGTTCCCATAACACTACATTTTATTAAATAAACCTCCCACTGTGTACAGGGTTACGTTTTATAGATCTTAACATGGTTTAGTATATGTCTGTGGGTCTTGATATTTTTTTTTAGTGTATGACTGCCTGTGTGTGTTTTTGTGTGTGTGTGTGTGTGTTAAAGGAGAATTATGAGGGGAGTGATTTTCACTCAGCCTCATAATCTGAGCCGACTTGTGACAATGAAACTGTCACAGGTCGGCTCAGTAGATCAGAGCGAGCGAACACATACCGGCGCTCGCTCACTTCTCGATCCTGTGCCGGCATACAGCCGTGACAGGGGAGGGACTGGATTCCCCCCTCCCCTGTCTGATCCTCCAGTGCTGACTGGCGGAACGGACGGGGGAGGGGGCAGGTACAGCTGGCTCTGCCTCTAGATAGGCAGAGCCAGCTGTCGCTCACGCAGCTGGGCAGATCCAGACAGAATTGTCGGGATCCATTTCAGCTGCAGCATCTCAGTATACCGCGAGCTGTGGCTCGCGGTATACTGAGCTTAGGGTGACGGGAGGACGCTAGTTTGTGTCCTCCCGTTACCCTAAGGAGAACTATGGGGAAAAGCCCTAACCCCATAGTTCTCCTTTTACAATGTAGTGTTATATAGCTCTTGTAGCCCTCTGTGTGTGAAATCTGCTTTTACTAATCTTATATATGTCTTGTGTCCCAGGATGAGAGAGACGGCCAGGAAAATTGAAGAAAAGCACTTCTCCCACATAACCACAGAGCACGTGGAGTTCCTTCCTGTGGAATGGCGATCCAAACTTGCTCTGGATGGAGGTAAATCCTCACCAATAACTGGATTCCCCATCTACGTATATCCCTCCTCTGTCTTTCCATCTGCTTCTATCACCCCAATTACTGTTGGTTATATAATTTTTGATTATATTGTACCCTTCTGTTGTACTTCCTCTAAACTAGATCTGTAAAGCCAGAGCTGCACAGGAGATTTTTAGTAGCTCAGTTCTGCGATCTTCGTAGCAAATGATCCCTATGCATTGTGTAGCATTCAATCACATGAATGGAGCTTTGTACAGTTGTGCAGAATTGAGTGCATGCTGCTTGTGTAGCTTACTGCTTAGAAAAACCGTGTTCCGTTTGTTTAGCTATTACATGCTACACTCGGCGGTTAATCAATAGCATTTTAGGAAGCTAGTTTGAGCTGCTATATTGGTCAGAATCCTAAAACCTTTCAAGTGACCATTTGCCAAAAATTGAGCAAAATTTTCCCAGGTGAGTATGGTTCCTTTGTATTGCTAATAGCCTTAAGACCCATTTGGATCTGTACACTGCGTGTGTTAAGACGCGGGGGGGGGGGGGGGGATTGATCAAAATCTGGAGCAGTTTCCTATGGCAACCAATTGGCTTCTCTCTTCAGTTTGTTCAGTTAAGCTTCGAAAATGAAAAGTGGATGCTGATTGGTTGGCATGCATAGCTGCTCCAGATTTTGTCTGCTCCAGTTTTGATTAATTCCCTTCAATGTATTTGAATTGGCTGCCGGTGAACCACAAAGCATTGAAAATCAGGTAAGTATAATTTTTTTCTCATGCAGCACACAGTCCACTGTATGCAATCCTGTGAAATACTTGGGGACTTCAATTGGAGTATATGATGCAGACTCTGTCACTTTGCCCATTCGGTCTCATTAAAGACAAACTATTTTGCAATTATTTTTTTTTGGGGGGGGGGGTTGGCTAACTGTCCTAAATCTATCATTAAATCCAAGGAATAAACCCAGTAGTATATTAGTGTGCTTTTCCTACAGAGGAATGATGCATATACAGACTACTTGCATATACATGAAAGTCACAGCTTCCATTACAACTGGCGCACAATTTCCTTAGCGAACAAGATTTTGGGCATTCAGTGATTGCAGAATGCAGAGAAGAGTCTCTTTAACCACTTCAAGACCTGGTGTTTAGACCCCCTTCCTGGCCAGGCCATTTTTCAGTATTCAGCGCTGCGTCAGAGTTTTTTTAATTCAGTGTGTGCAGGGATATAGGCAGCCGAAGTTGGGATGCCGATCTTGACTTTTCCTCAACTTTGGCCACTCCTCTCCCAACTTCAGAGTGTTCTTGTTGGTTAGTTAGGTTTCTTATTTGTTCCTGGAACTCTAATATCCTTATTTACTGCAACGGGGTGCTTTATGCAATATGATTTTTGTTATTAATGCTAATATCAATTTTAGACTTTCAATATTATTGCTATTAAGGAGAACTATGAGGTGAGTGAAAATCGCTCATCCTCATAGTTCTAGCCGACCTGTGACAATGAGACTGTCACAGGTCGGCTCAATAGATCAGGAAGTGAGTGAACACATACCGTCGCTCACTCACTTCTCGATCATGTCCCTGCAGAGAGCCGTGACTGTTAGTCACCGCTCCCCACGGGGATTCCCCTCTCCGATCCTCTAGTGCTGACTGTGCATTTTAGTTGAGCAAATATTTCCTGACTTCCTGTCCCAGAGACCTGAAATGATCTCCCAATAGTGAGGGGAAATCCCGTCTTTCAGAGCTGTCACCAGAAGCGGGAATTACCATGGCAGATTTCCAGAATTAAAGTAAATATTAAAACAAAAGTCAGAGAAAAATAAACGATACACGCACATTTTCAATGTTTTATTCTTTTTTGGCCCCATGCTCATTTGCAAAACAAAGATTGCATTTTTGTTTATTTTATATATTTAAAAATAAATGTATAACATTATATTAAATATGTATAAACGTAAAAAGAAAAAAAAAATGTTTCTCTTGAAATGGATCTCACAAGTTGGCACCTTCACCCAGCACACCACTATTGGATTTCACTCCCTACTTGGTATCATTCAATTTTCTTTTATTAATTGCAATGTAATAAATGTGTATATATCTTTCAGATTTGGAAATAATGGTTTCTCTCTGATTCCCTGCTTTTCATTAACACAAATGTCCTCCCCCAGACATTGTAGACTCCATCACTCCGGACAAAGTGCGCGGTATACGGGACATGCTGAACAGCAGTGCGATGGACATCATGTACTATACCAGCCCCCTGTACAGAGACGAGGTAAGAAGCGCCCTCATGGAGAAAAATCCACTGTTTTTATTTTGTGACGGCGTGGCAATAAGACAAAACACGGTGGGGGGGGATTTATCAGAACTGGAGCAGTTGCCAATGGCAACCAATCAGCTTCTCTCTTCTGTTTGTTCAGTTAAGTTTTAAAAATGAAAGAAAGAAGCTGATTGGTTGCCATGCACAGCTGCTCTGGGTTTTGATAAATCTCCCTTTGGGAGTTTTTATGAAATGCAACAGACAGTTTATTGGGCAGAAGGTTTGTGTTCATCATCAAAGGAAATAGGTTTTAGCTGGGCAGGTCCAATCCTCTACTGCAGTTATGGAGATAGAGCTTGGTCATCTCCGCTCTTCCAACCCGTGACTGTATAACAAAGGAGAATAAGCAGCAGATTGATGAGCTCATCCCTCTGCTCATCTCCATCAATCAGCAGGTTCCTTCTGAAGGTTTCACCACCTTAGGTGCCTTAAGAATACCTGGAAGTGCTCCTCCCTCTCTGCCTCAGTGCTACTACAAGAGGCCGATGCCTAGCCAAATCTGAGTATTTACACTAGTTGCATATAGAAATACATGTAGTTTAAAAATAAGTTTCTGTTACTTTATTAGAGGTGTACACAGGGCTGTCCCTAGGTAAATTGCTGCCTGAGGCCGGGAGAAATCGTGCATGGCTGATTTGTTTGAAGAGGGCAGTGGCGGATGCCGGTCCACTCTGTCAGGCGTTTTGCCCAGCTCATTGACATCACAGGTTGTCAGGAGGGAGGCGAGAAGCAAGCCAGAGCATTACTATTCAGCATCTGGCAAAAAGTGACTTCGGTGAGCTGGGCGTCCCCACACAGAGCGTCACAGGTTGTTGGCAACCTTGAACGCTCTGGCCAGCACCTAACCCCTCCCCAGTCAAATGCTGCCTGAGGCAACTGCCTCATTATAGGGACGGCCCTGGGTGTACAATACTAGCTTTCATATTACTACTTTTTTCTTTTTTTCTTTACACCTTCCTTGCTATTTTCTTGTATCTATTTACTTTTCTTGCTACAGCTATCTTTAATTTTTTTTTCTTCTTAAAGCAGAACTCCAGACATCTAAGTAATCATTTGCTCCCAGTCTCCTGGACTCTCATTATCTTAGATTTTAGCTAAATACAATTTTCTTTTCTTGAATGCAATGTAGCGGGCATGTGACCGCTCCTGTCCCATTCCTGTGTTATGGCAGTGGGCACGGAGCAGCAGTGATGCAAGGACTACATGTCCCAGAAGACTATGCGGATCAAGTGCCACTGGGCCAGTAGTAAAGGCCACTGGCTGTGGTGGCTGCGTTATTAATGCATCCCTGTAGTACTGAGAACTACAGGGTGGCATTAAAACGGCAGGAAGCTTCTGCTGAAGCTCAGTGTCATGCAGCCAAAAGTTTTTGCTGGAGGAGAGTACACCAAGGTGCCCGGCCTGCGGGACATGGAGCTGTAATGCACAAGAAGAAAAAAGGGGAATTGGGACCCCCTGAGGCAAAAATAAGTAAAAGAAATCCAAACTGGAGTTCTGCTTTTAATATTTTTTTATTCTCTTTATAGTAATCCCTTCATAGAGCTGTAATCCACGCCCGCAAAGTTCAGAGGGAGAACTGAATTTACTTTCCCTCCCCTCTTCATTTATCCGACTCTTTCAGCGCCCCTGACATTTGTTACAAGGCTCGGGATAATACGCGGGGCGGAAAGCCTGTGTCAATGATGTTTGCTCTTGTTCTGCCTGTTAAACAGAAACAATGCTCCTTCTTATTAGAGAGTATCAGTGTCGCCAGCTGAGTCGTGTAGCTCATCAATTATTGAGCATTCAGCGGCCTGCTGCTAGAATACATAGGGAAGGGCTGAGCCGAGTCACAAGGTCCCCATTACACGTGTACATCCAGTTGTGTCACCATCGCATCGGATGATTGTGAAGATGCTTGTACGCTGACAGGATGGATCCTGTCTGCGTCCAAGCCGGAAAACACGCCCCCCTACGGACCTGAACTTGCGGTGCCGCGTAGTCCCATAGAGAAGGGCGGGGGCTGCGTACTAATCACAAGAAGCACCTGTCCTTCCCTGGAGCTGCTCGGTACGGCCCTGCACAGAGCTGTACGTGAGGGCCGATTACAGTGTGAATGAGGCCTTAAAGCCCAATTGAACTTTCAGTTTTAAACCGTGAAATATATTGCTGGCGCCTCAAATTTAAAAGGTGTTTCATGTATTACAGTTAATTTCTCTTTAGAAGGCATCCACAGCTCAAGTAGAAAAGCCTGCCCCTGCCAGCATGTTGTAAAGAAGGACCCTTGCTCTTTGTGGCAGCAGTGGACTCTCTACAGAGGTCTAACAACCCATGCTGTGTCGGAGGCTGAGCTCTGCAGTCATCAGGAAGCAAGAGTTTTTTCTGATTTGCAGAGCTGTATGTCTGGCTTAGCAAGGGGTGTGTGTTGGTCATTTACAGAGAGGCCACTGCTTCCACACAGGGAGCAATGGTCCTTCTCTCCAGCATACTGGCAGGGGACAGGCTTTTCTACTTGTTTTTTTTATAGTGTTGTATAGAGAATGGTCTGTGTCCTATTGTCAAAGTTTCTCTTCACTTGTCCTGGAGATGCAACACGAAGTGATGGCACTTCCCCACACATTTGGCACCAGCATGTGTGTCCCTCACTAAAAGATTTCCTGTCTCCTTGTGACAACTGTAACACATTTTCCATTTCCCACCACTTAGTGACAATCTCCAGGACAAATAGAGAATCTCCCCAACAAGAACACTGCCATAAAAATTTGGTGTAAGTGATACTAATCATCTCTGAATTGGTGCCGACACTGTACTTCCTTCTGGAGGGGGGCTGCTTTTGTTCCCCATGGTTCCTGTGTGTGTTGTAAAGTAGTCACTGCCCAAGCCCGCACCCACCCCCACCCCCCCGTGATGGACTACAATCTCATATCTAGTGGGCTGCTTTTTATTGAGATTGTAGTCCATCACGGGGGGGTGGGGGTGGGTGCGGGCTTGGGCAGTGACTACTTTACAACACACACAGGAACCATGGGGAACAAAAGCAGCCCCCCTCCAGAAGGAAGGACAGTGTCGGCACCAATTCAGAGAGGATTGGAGGATCTACAGCCGAGTGACACACAAATAAGATACATTGTTGTTCATAGTTAAGGGACCTGAATGGATTTTTAAAATTTAACTGCTGAGTTTAGTGTCACTTTAATGCTTCCTGTATTTTTTGCTGTGGTTGCACTTTCAACCTCTAATGTCCATTTGTCACTGTAGAAGTTTGTCGGGGGGGTTTTTTGGGTGACGCAGATATTTGTCGTCCATCCTATGTGAGCCTCAGGGTGTTTATCATCTTCCTTGCTCTATACAGTGCTGATCTGTTGTGGAGTCATTGGCTTTGCTGTGTATTGACAGTTGGTGAAAGGTCTCCAGCAAGAACTGAACCGTCTCTACAGCCTGTTCTGCTCCCGGAACCCAGAGTTCGAAGACAAAGGCGGCAGTGTGTCCATCGTGGCGCACTCTCTGGGCTGCGTGATAATGTACGATATCATGACGGGGTGGAATCCGGTGCGCTTCTACGAACAGCTCGATCAGCAGGAAGATGAGGAGACTGAGGAGCACTGGATCAGTTATGAGGAGCAGCACCTGCTCCGAGAGCTTACTTTGACCAAACAACGGTCAGTGGACATTGGGGAGCTCATGTCAATGTGCTCCCCCCATTAGATCTCTCTGCCTAGATGCAGAGCAGCCAATCTATTTTTAGTAATCATCTATTTCTTCTATTACCATTTGCCTTTTTTATATGATTTTTTTTTTTTCTTTTCCATTGTCCACTTATATAGATTAAAAGAACTGGAAGATCGACTACATGGACTTAAAAGTTCTTTGTTTATTACACCTGCCTTAAGATTTAAGGTTAGTAAATTCATGTAGCATAAACGTCCATGTCTGTTTTAACCCTTGGCTACCCGTTATCTGTAGATTAACCCCTTCGTGACAGGAGACTACAGTGTACGTCCCGTCACAAATTGACTATATGACTGGCCACGTCCAAGAGGATGTCAATCTACATTCCATTTTAAAATTAGGCATCATTCACACACAACGCAAGAGCAAAATTGTATATTGTGTATATATGCACATATGCGCGCGTATGTATACACCTATACACGTGTATATGCATGCACTATATGCAATCCCCGAATGCATCATTCGTAATAGAAATTCTAATGAACTGTACGCGTCTACGTGCGCGCATGCGCGTAAAATGCGCTACCCGGACACATCTCGGTTTCATTCTGTTTTTACGCTGCGCAAATATACGGCTCCATACACAGCTATGTGTATGAAGCCATTTATTTGCATATGGGACAATACGCACGTACGTGTGAATGTGGCCTTAGGAGCATGCAGATGTGTGCACACTCCTAGTTCTGTGATGTGATCACCGTGATGGTCAGACAATCATGGCGATCACTTGATGTATGTTTACAAAAACATGCTAGCCTCTGCTGTCACTGTGCCCCACACCGAGGGAGGTTTTTTTTGTATCTGTTTTCAGTTCTGATTGGATGCTGTTCGGGCTGCCTGCAAAACACTTCTGTAATGGAGGCACTGCTGTACAAGTATGAAAGAACTGTTGCTGAATCAATGGATTCATCCATATTTTGCAAATGTCCTGGATTCCAGTAAAGAGGTCCAGGTACACTCCTGGCTATGTCTAAGACCTGAAAATACAGTTAGAGTTTTCACAACTGGGATTGCTAATGTATTGCCTAAAAGATGCGTACTGTGGAAGCTGTTCCCAGACATGGCAAGCAAAGGACCAAGGTCTAGAGGCCTGTAGTATCCCTGCAGCTGATCATTTCCCCATTCTTATGTTACCATTCAGTGTTCTGTACTGGATGTCTCTGCCGAGGCAGCCATCTTTGTAAAGGAGCAGGACTTTGCTTCAGTATGTCAGCGCTGTCCCCCTGGTGACTGCTGAATGGATGGGGTTGTGATTAGAAAGCCGGAGAGTTTTGGGAAGCGCAGATCTGCAGAATGGCTGATGTAGGAGCAGGGAGATCCTTGCACTGCAGTTGATCAGGTACAGCTTCCTCTCTAGCAAGTAGAATAGTGAACAGTAGCGACCTCACTAAAATCTCACTCCAAATTCTGTGTAGCAGCTAAAAGCAGCAATGCCAGGCATCTCCCAGCTATAAAGCCCGGGACACACTGCACGCAAAGCCGTGCAGAGCGAAGCAAAGCTGTCCGGCACTGAGCTTTGCATGCAGTGTGTGAGCTGAGTGCAGTCAGATGATTGACTGCACCTTCAGGCAATCGGCTCCTGCATAACAACCGGCCAGACGTCGCATTCTGATGCGCGGGTTTATACACGTTGTTCTAAGACATCATTGTCTTCATCTAAATGAGGAAAGATTTGGTGGGGGATGCAGCGGATTCTCGTTTTACATTTTAACCGTGAATACTCTTGATATGTTTAGGTTGAGAATTTCTTCTGCATGGGATCGCCTTTGGCGGTCTTCTTGGCGTTGCGCGGCATCCGTCCCGGAAATAGTGGAACTCAAGATCATATTTTGCCTCGAACTCTTTGTAACCGTTTGTTTAATATCTTTCACCCAGCAGATCCTGTGGTAAGTGACTGCTCATCATTGTATACAGCTTTGTCTCTGAGCCTTGTTCATTAAAGTGAAACAGTAACAATTGGACTAATGTGCCGTATTAGGTCTGTAATCATGCTTGTCCTATATGCTTGCTTGTCAAAGAACTTGCTACAGATCAGCCATAGCATTATGACCACTGAGAGGTGAAGTGGATAACATTGATTATCTTGTTGCAATGGCACCTGGAGAGGGGGGGGATATATTACAATGGCACCTGGAAGTGGGGGGGATATATTACAATGGCACCTGGAAGTGGGGGGATATATTACAATGGCACCTGGAAGTGGGGGGATATATTACAATGGCACCTGGAAGTGGGGGGATATATTACAATGACACCTGGAAGTGGGGGGATATATTACAATGACACCTGGAAGTGGTGGGGATACATTACAATGGCACCTGGAAGTGGGGGGTTATAATAGGCAGAAAGTGAACATTTTGTCCCTGAAGTTGAAAGCAGAAAAAATGGACAAGTGTCAGTATTTAAGTGACTTTGACAAGCACCAAATTGTGATGGCGAGACGACTGGGTCAGAGCAACTCCAAAACTACAGCTCTTGTGGGATGTTCCCGGTCTGCAGTGGTCAGAACCTACCACAAGCGACCATGAGCTTATAGTAGAACAGTAAAAGCCACCGATGTAAGGCTTACTGAGCTGGCAAGCTGGAAGCAGTTGTGTTCCGCTGTAAGCCTTTACGTCGGTGACAGCGAAAGGGATAAACGTCATGTCAGCAGGTCTTTGCAGAGGGGGAGAAGAGGCTGTGGGTGCTGGTCATGGAACCTGCAGGAGCGAGGATCACGTTAGTAAAAGTGCTTTACAGAGGTCCCCTAGACAAAAGCAAGCATTTAACCCTTGCAATGCAGAGGGGTATCCCTACCGCAAGGGGAGAGGTTTTTTTTTTGTTTTGCAACTGGATAGGATTTAACTCACAGCATGGGTCTTTAAGGTCTATAGCCACCTATACCCTAATCCAGCAAAGAAAACTGAATGGACTTACCTTGATGCCAGAAGATTTATCCAGCAGCAATGTACATATCGGGCACATTCTGGATTGTATTATATAGAGGGGGAAATAATGACTCATTGGTCTGTAGTACTGATAAGCGGGCCCAATTCTCCCTGACCTTTCCGTTTCTCCTCAGGCCTACAGATTGGAGCCATTAATACTGAAGCACCACAACAACATTTCAGCCGTCCAGATTCACTCCTCTAACACCACTTACTCCGTCCCTTACAAACAGATGAGACCGGTTCTCATCAACCCATCCAAAGATACTACCTCAGTGTCAGACACCGAAAGCATACCAAGCCCTAGCACATCGCCGGTTCTGCCACGGCGGCACTACGGAGAGTCCATAACGAACATAGGCAAAGCAAGTATATTAGGTGAGTGTGATGATCCGAATGTCGGCTGGCTCCCAGAATTCAGTTGGTGGGCTTTGATGCTTGCAGTGTAACAGATGGAGAATGAGCAGGCGGCTTTTTACTTCCAGTCAGTGTGGAAGGATATAATACCTTGGTTGGGATTTTAATAACGTCTCTGTATATGGTAGGGAGATTTCACCTTTTTTTTTTTTTTCCTGTGACCCCTGGATAAGAAATAACGGGTCATCAGGAATATAAGACATGCAGTAATAAATAAAAACCTCATTACAAAGTACATATGGGCTAAAAAGAAATATGCAGTACATTTCTAAATGTGCACATCTATGCAATTTGGTGTGCAGTGCCGCATGTGATCCCGCATTGCATGTTGCAGTATTAGGTGCACTGTGGTGCCATTATTTCCTAATGGCACCCCAACGCACCTAGGCATCTTTCATGTGTATGGTATCGCACCCCGTCACATGGTAATCTAGGGTGCTTGCGCTTCTTTTAGTGATATTTAGCTGTGGTTGGCATTCCAATGAATAGACTATCCTACTGTAGCCCACCACGACTCACCCTGCAGCACCTCTGGAATGACGCATCCCAGAAGTGTGAACAGAGGCTTACATATTTTATTTATTACAATGCTATAACAGTGTTGTCATTCTTAGCGCTCCTTCAACCATTGGTCTGCCCAGCAACCAACTAGAGGAGCTCACATGGCTTACAACGCTTTTGCTAATTGAAAGTTGGTGGCTTAGTATTGTCAGTCTGCAACGGTGAAGTGCTGTTACTGGTAGGATATCAAGGTAAGGAACTTAACCTAAGGTTAGGGCTTTACCCCATAGTTCTCCTAAGGGTAACTGGAGGACACAAACTAGCGTCCTCCCGTCACCCAAAGCTCAGTATACCGCTAGCTACAGCTCGCGCTATACTGAGACGCCGGAACGGATCCCGACAATTCTGTCTGGATCCACCCAGCTGCGTGGTGACAGCTGGCTCTGCCTATCCAGAGGCAGAGCCAGCTGTACCTGCCCCCTCCCCGTCCGTTCCAACAGTCAGCGCTGAGTGACGGTCACGGCTCTCTACCCGGATAGATCGAGAAGTGAGCGAGCGCAGGTATGTGTGAGACTGTCACAGGTCGGCTCAGATTATGAGGCTGAGTAAAAATCACTCGCCTCATAATTCTCCTTTTAATGTGTGTAACTTATTCTAACCACTAGGTGTCAGTCCGCGTCTGTATGATGGTTTGTCTATCTGTTGCATGCAGGTGCCGCCAGCATCGGGAAAGGTCTGGGGGGAATGCTATTCTCAAGATTTGCACGCTCTAGTGCAGCTAGCTATGAAGTAAAAGAAACCACAGACGGGGAGGACAGAAAATCACTACACAGCCCGAGCACAACAGCGACGACGACCACAACACCGCAAACCCTTCCGCACAGCATTTCTGGAACTCTGGATTCTGCAGGTTGGTTCAGATTTATCCATTTAGTGCTGTAGATGGTCTGGGGAAAGCACACCTACCCTTCTCTCCTAAACAGCTGCAAGAAGCAGAGGGAAGAAGCTCTATGTAAGGTTACACAGGGCTAAGGACTCTCCCCATCTCCATGTCCCTGAAAAGGCAATTGGCAAATGCTAGTAGTCAACTTAGGCGTGATTCACATACTGTCTATACTTGGAAAGTACCAACAAGATTCTTATTATTATACAGGATTTATATAGCACCAATAATTTGCACATTGCTTCTTAACATGCAGGGAAGACGGTTCAATCACAATACCTTTCAATACAGGAGGCTTAGGTGGGCCCTGCTCGTGAGAGCTCACAAAGGTGAGGAAGTGAAGGTGACTGCTCTTGGTGGGTACTAGAAAGAAGTGGAATAAAAGCGGTGGACCTGCAGGGTTATCCTATTGGTGTGGCTCACCAGTTATGATGATAGTCGGTATATACAGCGCTGCGGAATATGTTGGCGCTATATAAATAATTGTATAGGTGATCTGGCTAAGGCAGCTTCTGTCGCAGAGGAACTCCACTGTGGTCTTGCTTTGTAGTGTCATATTGAAGGATTGTGAATTGAAGCGCCACACTCCCGTTTGATAAATAAGATACATTTCTATGCAATATAGGGTTGAGGCGACAGAAATAGCCAATGCGTTTTGAGGTTTCATACAAATACCCCCTTCATTAGGACCCAGAGAGAATTTCTAGATCAATACACTGCTTCAGGATCAGAAAAAGTTGTATGGGAAATTATAAATGTTCTGTAGGTAGAAATTATGCAACTGGAACTAAAAGTGCAAAGAGGAGAAAATGCACTCTCTCTTTTTCCCTCTTCCACAATTGTTTATAGGGATCAATTGATCATTTTTAAACAATTGTGGAAGATAAACATCAAAGTGAACCTGGGCTTCGTTCCGGGAAAAGCAACAGAGTCACTTCCATGCCACATACTACAGCTTCAGATACACTCTCCTTCCCTTCATTACATCACTCCAGCTCTGTTCACAAAGTGAGGTGAAGCGATATACCCAATGCTTCCAGGTATGGGGATCATGTGACTTTCCCCCCTTTTCCAGTGTATGCGTGCCAGTGATATGTTGCTCGAGCACCTTAATGAACCTGTTGCTTTGCCCTGCATGGACAAAAAGAACAAATTCACTTTTATGCAGGGGCAGCTCTCTTGTGTTTTTTTTGTCATCTCGGTCAGCCCATGCGTTTTCAGCTCAGGTAGCATCTGCTTGTCGTCCTATGCTTACAATGGACATGTGCCTAAGAGTGGCTCTGGTGGGGCACTATGGAGCCCGGCGAAGTTAAAGGATTCATCCCAAAACTGGATACTGGGCCAGCGCTTAGAGGACCAGCTAATTCGGCAGGAAACATTACTTTACAATAATAAGAAGCAGCATCTGTTGTATAGAAGCATGTGATATCTTTAAAAAATGTTTGATTTCAATATCACTTTACGCAATGGCGGCCTCCATTGAACTCTCATGACGGTGTTCCTTTAAGCCTGAATAGTCTGATTGTTGCATAATCCCTTTCTTGACGTCCGTTCCCTTTAAATGTTTCCTATGCCGCCCATTGTCTCTTTAGTGTCACTTGGAATCGGCTCTCACAGACTCCATTAGACCTCCTGGAAGCTCTGTAGCATCCACTGACGATGAGCCTCTGTCTGATAAGCGCTCCATAGTAACCTATCGGGGAGTTATTATTCTAGGTCGGTCCCACTTGCAGAGGAAATGATCTCAGTGTTTGGACTCTGCCCAGTATTGTCTCTTCATTAAGATTCTCATCAGAAGTCATTCGTTCAGAGCATTGTGCACAGCCGTCCTCTCTGGGAAAGACGCCTGTTTACTTACAAATGAAGGATTAAGTGTCTTCCTTCCTTTTAGGAGTCTTGTAATTAAAGCTTCAAACATTCATTTTGGGTGATCTTGGAGCAACTCCGGGCAATAAATAAATGAAATGGACTGCAAATGCTTTCCAGGAAACCTTACAACTGCACTGGGCTCAGAAAAGTCCAACTAGAACAGTGAACACGCTGGGTTTATTTTGCATGCTGAGGTTCAGGGGTGTTCAAGGTGAACGCTCAGTTTGGCTATGCCCCTAATCAAGTCCAGCTGGAAAAATATGACCCTTGTTGGGGGGGTAAATGCTTGTTTTGTCTAGGGGGTGGAGGAATGAGCAGCTATATTAGCTTATTCCTTGCTCCCACAGGCTTCCTCTGTGCTGGATGACGGATCCCCCAAAGCCTCTTCCCCCTAGCTGCTCACATAACGGAAGTGGAGGAGAGCTCTGGCTGGCAGGGGTAGCAAGGAGTAAGGCAAGTATAGCTGCTTATTTTGTTCCCCGTAGAGAAAACGAGCATTTAACCCTTGCAGTGTGGGGAGAATGCCGTTGGCATTGTCTCGGCTCTTGCCTGGTCTCTAAAGAGGTCACTCCGTGAGTAGGCTGATTAGGCATTTACGTTTGTTACTGGGCACCTCTCCTGCTTTCTGACGGTTTCCACCACTGGAGGCGTTAATGCTGAGAGCCTGCGCACTGATGCCATCTGCTGGGTGGAGTGTTGGACATACTTGGAGCTCTTCCTCACCGTTCAACGTCAAGGAAAAATCCCTTCGCTGCTGCTTTGCAAAGTGCCACGTCCAACTCCGATTTTTAGTCTGTTTTTGTGGCCAGCCTACAGTGACCATGGTCACCTCCGACCCTCACCTGCCATAGTCATATGGTTGCAATTCTAGATGGGGAAGGGGGTGCGGTGGCGGTTAGTCCTGATGTAACAACTGCCCCCAGCTCACTCTCTAATAATTGCTCCATCGCTACTTGCAGTATGCCCACTGATAAGGCCAATGTCTACGCTCACCCACAAGGTGGGGTTTCTTGTAGCTATCATTTCAGTGTGGCGAGCATTTGTACCGATGGCCAATCCTGTAAAGAACCTTTTCTGGTTTTGCAAAGGGACAAAGTAGTTTCTGCTTTTCCCCTCACCCAAGACATTGTCTGTCCAGCACCAGTTCACCAAAAGGAAAACATTTTCTCCATTGTCAGGATGTGGTTTCCACTGTGAGTCTCATTCATTGCTCTTTCAGTAAGGCTGTTTTTTGTTTTTTTCTTTTTACAGCCCTGATTGTCCCCATAAGGCCACACTGACTTCTCGTTCCACATCTCTCCGTGGCTTAGACAGACCATCAACCAAGCCTATGGTCTCAAGGATTGGGTTCTACCCTTTCCTGTCGAGGTGCATTCTGTACTAGATCTGCGAGTTCTTTTTGGGCTTTTCATCAGCCGCACCGGTTTCCCAGATTTGCAAGGCCGCCACCCGATCTTCTGTTTTCTGAGTTCTGCCAGGTGGACATTGAGGCCTCATCTGATACTGGCATCAGGCGTAGGGTCCTTCAGGCAGCTCTTTGACCTACAGGCCAGTTTTGCCTTGCACCTGTTAGCATTTATTTTGCTGTCCTGCCGACCCCTCAGTCGGACTTCTTTTGGATGTCCTAAAAGTGAAGGTCTTCCTCTCAATAAATGCAAAATTAAATGGGATTTTTGTATTCGCCCAAAAAAATATTTTCTTGGAGTCCATTGGGGGACCCAGGTCCCACCCCTCGTGTGTTTTATGATCATACTCCCAATACTGCATTGGTACAAAACTTCAGGCATGCTTCTAGTGGAAGAGGGTATCTCGGACTGACCTACATATTTTTGTTTGATGTCCAATCCTCTTAGAGGCAGCAGTATTAATAATTTCCTTGGAGTACAAAAATACTATTTTGTTTCCCCTAGCTATCTTCTGTGAATCATCAAAGAACACCTACCTATGTAGAGGAGATGGGGAAGTGTTTGCATCTGAAGAGCAGCCTAGGGTGACAACACTGCTCCTCCATATATACCATACAGTGAGTGAGCGTGGTCACCCTAGGACAGGAAGTGTGTTAACTGGCAGGATCGCCAGGGAAAGGAAAACTAAAGTAGCCACCAAATCTAAGGACAGCTGAGGTGCAATATACAAAATGTTTGTTTGTGGGTATAGATATGCTTTCAATCACATGAACTCCCTCTTACCCCTTTCCATCTACTTAGCAGTATAAACACAGATCGTATAATGTTGTTGCTGTTTTCTTTTCTTTTTTTTTCTTCCAGTGGTGGAGTTGGAGCACCGGATCGATTTTGAACTCCGAGAGGGACTGGTGGAGAGCAGATACTGGTCGGCTATGACTTCGCACACTGCGTACTGGTCCTCCATGGACGTTGCACTTTTCCTATTGTCATTCTTGTACAAAGAAGCCCAGGTCGAGGACGGAGACAAGTTAGGGGTAGATGACGCATAAGAGACATTACAAACCACTGGATCTGACTGGAGACTAGCTGCTGAGAAAATGGAAACTGTTCGGGCAACATGAAAGTTGCTCGTGCATGTTTCAAAGTTCCGTTTTCGAAGCGCACCATTGATTTCACTTTAAAAGCCGTTGACATGTTTCGTTCAGTCCACCTTCTCATCCTCCCAATTCATTCCAGCAATAGAGTATTTCAGTAGATACCTAAAGGGCGACATCACCTTCCTGACACATGCAACATCCTGACAATGCGGGACGTTGAGTTGAACATCTTTTGTGAATAGGCTTGTACGCAAGCGTGGTCTGTGCTGGTCAAACGTCACGTTTTGTTGGTTTGGGAGGCGAAAAGGCGACACATCCTCTGCGAGGAGAAAACTTAAATGAAGAATATTTTAACGTGCGGTTGCTACTTATTTGCGGAGTTCAGTTATTTATCATTGAATGCCTGTATGTGACTGTTAAGATGCCAGTGCATAGAAGACACCCTAAGAAACATTCTGTAAGGAAGAAGTTGGGGAGGTGATTTCTTAAAGGAGAATTATGGGGAGAGTGATATACAATCATCCCCATAATTAGAGCCAATGTGTGACATTGAAGCTGTCACATGTCAGCTCTATAGATCGGGAATCGAGTCATCACTTACCAATGATCGCTCAATTCCCGATCATCTCCCTGCAGAGAGCGTTGACTGCCAGTCACCGCTCCCCGTAGTGATTCCTCCCCTCTCCGATCCTCCAGCGCTGATTGGAGGGACAGACAGAGGAGGGGGCGGGCTCTAGAGAGGCAGATCCAGCTGTTAATCAGTTGGCGGGGTGGATCCCATATTGTCAGGATCTTTCCCAGCCACAGCGTGGCTCTGCGCTCTAAGCATATAGCAGGCAATAGCCCCCTGTATGCTGAGTTTTGGGTCACAGGAGAACATAGTAAATGTCCTCCTGTGACCCTAAAGAGGACTATGGCCAAAAACGGTTGGGTACCAGTTCTCTTTTAAAGCTGAATTCCAGGCAATCTGCTGATTTACATATAAGGGAGATGTTTTACCTGACGGGGGATTTGTAATTCTGTCCTTCCAGTTTTTTTTTTTTATACAGCTCTGCTGCACAGCAAGGCGAAGGTGAATGATGTCATTTTTTCAGTTTGTTATAGACTGTAGAAGAAATACAGGACTGTCCTCCCTCTTCCCCAGCCTGCTGATTGGACAGTGAAAAAGCAGCAGATGACTCGGGAGATCAGCTCTTTGGCCTCTCTACCTATCGGCACGTTCTTTATAGGCAGATTGGCATGCAGCTCACCTGACTGGCACCCAGTCCTGCCCTCCTTCTTCCCAGTCTGAGTACTGCTGCTAGAGGCTGATAGCGAGTCCTATGCAGATACTTAGACATTTAATGAATACAGAGCTTCATTAATTTGTGTCTTTTAGATCTGCCTGGAGTTTAGCTTTAAAGCTAAAAAAGACGGTTAGGTTGCTACAAGGTATATTAAGAGGCCTTGATTTCTGCAGAAGTGGGTGACCAGCAGGATGCCCACGCATGCCACAATGTTTTCCTCTTAATAACCATCTTTGCAGGAGAGAAATCTGAAACGCGACTTATTTTATTTTTAACATTTATTGCAAAATTAATATTTTCCAGAATTTAACTTATTATTATTATACAGGATTTATATAGCGCCAACAGTTTGCGCAGCGCTTTACAATATAAGGAAGACATTACAATCATAATACAAATCAAGACAAGATGGTAAGGAGGGCCCTGCCCCTGAGGGCTTACAATCTAAAAGACTTATCTAAATAAATTAACAAAATGTGGCATTTGACCAGCAGTTGCTTTTTATTTTTTTGCATATGACTACTGCAGTATACTATACCTTGTATTGTTCTATGCAGTCTCCACAGGCTCTCCAAGTATCCATTGTGGTTAATGCAGAATTTTCTAATTATGCCGTTTGCCTTGGGAGTTGGAGGTTGCTGCTGCCGTTGCCGCCTTTACATTGTTGACCTAGACGAGGGCTTCCGTGTTTTTTAGGCGGCCATGCAAAGGCCACAGGTTTGGTGATTAGGGGTGGCGTCCCGACCAGAGATTTTTGCAATACGGAAAAGTGACAAGTCATGTGTATCGGAAGACCGGTTGGGAGCCGTGGTTGGGCTTCATAGTAGCGGGTTGTGATGGGCTCAAGGAGAGGCAGACTGTTGACTGATTTGTGTGGTCCCACCTTGGCATTGAGCATAATGGATACAGTGTACCTGTACTAAACCTAACGAACAGAAACAAGAAATTAATTGCAGGCTCCTAGGGGTGTCTACATGCACCCATTACAAATCCTCAGATATTTGGGGCCCTGTAATATGCTAATTCTGACTTCAGCCAAGTCGAGCATGGGCCTGCCCATTCCAACTTCCTGTTGCTGCCTATAGGGAGGTTGGGAGGTTTAGAAGGGGTGGGTCCAAGTCCAGCTTCATCTTTTGAGCTCAGAATTGTAAATGATGGGGCACCGGGGTTTCTGAAGATTTGGAGGGGGTCTGCTCTTCAGTCGATTACATTTAAAATCTGGACAAGTTTACTTTTTTGCTTCAGTCTGCAGTGGCTTGAGCCAGAACATGCATAAGCGACCCTTGTGTCAGAGGCCTTTGTGGCTAAAGTATGCTGAAACTGACGTGGAGCACCTATCTTTTCTGCCAAACGTACATACGGATAAACGGACCTTTTATAAGTGGGCATCTTTTATTTATTTGCTGTCGGCTTGCAATTGGCCTAGAGTTCTCTTGTTTTTTTTTTTTAAAGTGGATCATTGAAGGGGGAAGACAATCTGGAACATAACTGTAGGTACTGGTAGGTACCAATACAGACAAAAACAGTTTCCTAGCAGATTTCAAGGTCGGCTAAGGAGCCCAATCAAATGGACATCCAAAGAATGACTTCCATGCCGTTGGATCAGCCATCTTGCATCCCACCCTGCAATGGATCATATCCAGAGGGTAGAGCAGTGTAGATGGCAGTGGAGAAGGTACGGCATGGTTCTGCCATATAATGGGAACTCCACAGTGGGATCTGTTTGCATCCTCCATCTCTTATTCTCTGCCGGGTCACAACAGTCTTTTGCACAGATCTCCTGACTTTACCCATATGTCATGTCATAGGCTACCTTGCCTTGCTAGAGAAGGTCAGATTTGGGAGGTTCATGCACAGTGCAGTATCTCATAATAACCAATCAGAAATCCGTACACTGATCGTGCTGCAGTAACCTTCTGATCAGTATGGGTTGCTGCCCTTTGCACCTGATCTTTTGCCCTTTGCGGTATTCCTTAAGGTGAGCTCAGGGAAAGCTATGTGGCACTGACACCTTTCCGCACAAATGTAAAGTGCACCTGTCATGAGAGAAATGCAGCAGATACCATTGTTGGCCTCTGAATAGGTCGTGTCTAGCTTCCATCACTCAAGTCATCGATCTGAAACAAATTAAAATTGTAGTAAAATAAAAAATTCTGCATCTGTATACTTTTATTTCCATTTTGGCTTGGAAATTGTCATATTGCTGCTACGGCTTCAACAGTCAGGCAGCTCGCATTTTCAGAAAGACTGGTCAGCAATGGCGGCCTTCATGTTTGTCACATGACCTGTAAAGAGTTCTTTGACATATTCTTGTCTGTTGCTGTCCTCGAAAGAACTTTATTAATGTTTCTACTGCAAACGGTAGTGCTGCTATAGGTGGAAGCCAGTTAGCCCAACACTATATGTGAACGAGGAACATACAAACTCCATGCATGTAGTGTTGCTGGGGACATTTAACCTACGGCCAAAGAAGGCAAGGGTGTTCCAAACTTGGCCACTGTGCTGCTTGGTGAGTGTCAATGATGTTTTTGAAGCTCGCCTTCACCTGACAATTATAGCTGCCGATCTACAGCGTCTTCTGCTTGACCAAATCACCCAAAAATGTTTTTTCTGATCTACATCATTCGTGTTCATTGTGAGCATCTTGAAGTGATAACCAGCAAGCTCGAATGTTCTAAACGAAGAAAACTATGGTAGCCTACTGATTTCTCTCCGCTCAGGTTTCTGAATATCTAAAGTTTAATTTATATGTAGGGTTTGGTTGAACTTCTGTCAGCTTTTTTTTTTTTTGCCATCTGTCACATTGGGGAGGTTTCCCTTCACTTCCTGTCCTGTAGACACAGCAGGAAATTAAAGACAATCTATCCAAAAGGGGAATGCCCTCTTGGTTGTCCCCATTGGCAGATTTCCTCTATATTTGTGCTCCAGTGACTGCTCACGATTTTTTATTGCCCCCTTACTTTCATTCTCATTCATGATGGTCACCAGGATATAGAGGTGAATCTCACCAGTCGGGTTGACAGAGCAGTAAAAAAACAAAACTTACAGGGTCTAAACCATCACCACTTAATCTAAATTTTTTTTCAATGGCTTTAAATATTTTAAGGGGCCAATTTTATAAATCTTGGCTGGGTGAATGAGAACCACTAGGAGCAAAATAATTCTTCTATGGTGGTGGAGCTCCTATGCTTTACCACTAGATGGAGCTGAGGAGCAAAGGAATTCCTATGGTGGTGGAGCTCCTATACTCCACAACTAGATGGTGCAGAGGAGCATAGGAATTCCTATGGTGGTGGAGCTCCTATACTCTACCACTAGATGGTGCAGAAGAGCATAGGAATTCCTACGGTGGTGGAGCTCCTATGCTGCACAAAATGGTGCCAAGGAGCATAGGAATTCCTATGGTGGTGGAGCTCCAATGCTGCACCACTAGATGGACCCGAAAAGCAAAAGAATTCCTATGATGGTGGAGCTCCTATGTTCTACCCCTAGAAGGTGTAGAGCACAGGAATCATTATGGTGGTGGGGCTTCTATACTCCACCACTAGTTGAAGCCGAGAAGCATAGAAATTCCCATGGTGGTGGAGCTCCTATGCTACCACACTAGATGGAGCCGAGAAGCACAGGAATTCCCATGGTGGTGGAGCTCCAATGCTACCACATTAGATGGAGCCGAGAAACATAGGAATTCCCATGGTGGTGGAGCTCCAATGCTACCACATTAGATGGAGCCGAGAAGCATAGGAATTCCTATGGTGGTGGAGCTCCTATACTCTACAACTAGATGGTGCAGAGGAATTCCCATGGTGATGGAGCTCCTATACTCTACAACTAGATGGTGCAGAGGAGCAGAGGAATTCCCATGGTGATGGAGCTCCTATGCTCTACCAGTAGATGAAGCAGAGGAGCATAGGAATTCCC